CAGCATTGCCCACATGAGAGTGTCCATTGTTCCCTTTGCAATCAGGAAGTGAATATTCACAGAGCTGCACTGCCCAATCCTGTGTGCTCTGTCTTCTGCTTGCTTGATATGGCCTGGATCCCAGTACAATTCAGCAAACACCACGTGAGTGGCAGCAGTGAAAGTCAAACCCTAAACAAAATAAGTAGATGCATTTTAGAAAGAAGATTCCACGCAGAAACCACTGAGTATCTGAAGCAAAAGAAAGCTAAAGGTTGTACAGGATGTTTTGACATGGAAATCAGAGGGAACACCTCGACAGCACATGGGCCTGTTATGCTGGTTCCTTGGGCCTCATAGATATCAGTAAGATCCAAAAAATACTTCAACGCTGTGCAAAGAATGCACCTTGCTTTTTTATGGCAGTAATAGCTCTTATTAATCTGGCACTTTTAGAGAAATGGTGTCGTTACTAATTATTCAAGAGTGAGATGCTGCTGCTTATAATTTTGTTCAAGCAATTTCAACAGAGGCTTAAAACATGATTAGAGCAAAGAAGTTATGCAGGAATCTACAACAGAAACTGCACGAAGACAAATCACTTCAGTCACCGATGAGTTCAGCACCTACACTGTTCACGTTTCTTTTTTCAGGGATTTTGGGTTTTGCCCTACCTGACCAGCTGCCTGAATACTCAGAATAGCAACTCTGGTCTCAGGGTCCTTCTGAAACTGATTCACCAGATGAATTCTCTCTGCAGAGGGAACACTTCCATCGATGCGTATGTAACGAACCTGGAGCACATCACAGCAGAGACAAAATGGCATTACCAGGGTCTGGTTTGGACTCAAGTCCTTTCTGGCCCCAAGAAGATTATGAAAACAACTCTTCTATTCCTGTCCTGAGGACTGGGATACAACAATTGTCTTTTGCCCTTTGATTTACAATTAAGCCTCTATCTAGAGCAGTGTAGACTTAGTATTCCCTGTTTACAAAAACAGGAGACAGAACCAACATGAGATCTGAAAATGGAATATTCCACAGAAGAATCTGAAATTTCCCTGACACAATTCACTAAAATTCCAAACAGTTAGAAACTAATCACAGCTTAAAACAGCAAAGTTAGGCACCATTCCCTGGCAATGGCTGAGTCCATGATTGAAGTAATGTGCAAGTTGTTTGCAAACACTTTTACTGCTTTGAGTTAAACTTTCAGGGGAGAAGGTATTTCACAGAATAATCAGAGTTGGAAGAGACCCACAAGGATCATCTAGTCCAACTCCTGGCCCTGCACAGGACATCCCTGAGAATCACACCCTGTGCCTGAGAGCATTGTCCATATTTGTACATCAGAAGCTAAATTTGTGTGCACAGTTGTCCAATCTTTACCTTGTTCTCTATGACAGCCTCTGTGCAGGCCTGCAGCATGCTCAGGTGATGGGCAAAGACTAGAAACTTCAGCTTGTCATTTTCAAGCATCATTTTGATATAGTCCTTTACTGCTCCTGCCTGGAGTGAGAGAGAGCATTTTCATTAGTTAGACACACAAAGTGATCAAAAAGAAGTTTTTAATGTCTTTCAATTCCCTGTAATACAAAAAGGTAATTTCCCATACTTTTTGAGATCTATTTAAAACTTTGTCAAACACTAACATTGCTAAGTGTAAAATGATTCAAATCAGTTTTGTTTAAAAAAATGCCACAATTTTATGTCTTTGAGAAACTATCTCATTCCTTCAGAGAGGAAAAAAAACCATCTATCCTCAAAGGATCACATAATTACATGGAACTTTTTCCAGATTAAGATGTAGATAAAACTCCTTTTAGTTACTCCTGGTGTTTTAATCTATATTAAAAACCCAAGCATGTTTCAAACAGACAAGGTACTGTTAAATCAGAACTTCTGCACCCAACCCACACAGAGCCATGTATCAAAACTGAAAGAATAACTTTGATACTTTCATGATACCATAATCATGAAATATTGCTCTATTTAAGCATTCCTAGAATTCTTCCGGATCAAATTTTCAATACCTTTTACAAAAACAATTAAAGCAATGGTGACAGTTAATAACAAAACTTATCAGTGACCAACAGTGATCAATACTCACTGCAGCATTCAGATTTCTTTTTCCCATGA